GGGCTCTAGGACCAACGCGCAGAGACAAAAAAGAGATCCGGTGAAATCCCCTTGAAAAGAACCGGATGACTAGAGGCTCTACCCTTCCCCTCCTCCTCCCAACAGAGTATTCTTTGTGCTTCTCAGGTTCTGATCCTTCCCAAACTGTGATTCTAATATTCAGTATGGACAGGAACCTCTGTCGTCGGTTTTCAACCCCAAACAGTGAGGGAAAGATTCTGGGGCTTTGGAACTCCTGCTGGAAGACACGGGGTTCTAAGCGAAGCCAAATCTCCTTTCGGCCTTGGCAGAAATGGGAATATCTCTTGAGCCTATTCACAGCACCGAAGTTCCAGGTAGGGGAGTCTAGGGGTGAAGATCCCCCGCTGACTTTAGTCTGGGCAAACCCCGCAGAATTAGGCCTAGCCGTGGGGGTCCTATTAAGGCTAGGTTTCCCTTTTGGCACCCGTGCACTCTAACCTCCAGTTCTGCTCAGGCCTCCACCACACCAGCTCTGGGGCTTGAGGAGGAAGAACGCCCACAAAGGCTCAGGTCCCAACTTTCCAACCTGGCTCCCCATCTGACCCAGCGGGACATTCCAGGTTCAACCTGGATTGGAGAATCAGAACCAGATCTTGGCTGGTACACAGCCGCCAACCGGCAAGAGGCCGGCTGCAGAGAGCTTTCTGAACCAGCGAGCCCCCAAGAACCGGGATGCCGGCAGGAAGCAATCGGAATCCCCGCAGTGCACTCCGCCCTTCCACTCACCCTCCTCTAGGGAGCTCTGCTAAGAGACTGGCTCAGATACCTGGAGCCTATTGGTCTGATTCACCCGGGCCAGCTTCTATAACCAGGGATCCTTGAACACTAGGTCACCAGGGGAGCACTCCAAGCACCACTGATTGTAGGTCAGACCTGCTCAGATTGTTTTATCTGAGGGTTGCACAGACCGGAACAAAGCCAAGCCTGAACCCTGTTCTCCGTGGTTAAACACAAACTGATGGACAATGGATTGAACTTGGTGCTTCCTTCAAAGAACGGTGGGTATCTAAATAATCACTGCCATTGATGTGGGCAGCAAGACTGTGGGGTCCAGGGCAGACTGAAATGGGATAAAGTCCAGCAACCCAGAATGGTAGTATGAAGCTGAAGCAAATGGCTTGATTTCCCCAGGGCATTCTGGGGTGGGGGGGCTGGCACAGCATTTTTTCTGTCAGCCTCCCCAGGGTCTCAAGGCCCTTACCCAAGGGAAAGGCTTATCTGGAAGCTTCCAGGGCAGCAATACTTCATCCTTCCAGAACTGGGAGCACAAAGTGGACAGGGAGGGTGTAAAGAAGCAAACAGAGACAAAGTGTCCATTCCTCACATTCTCTCCTCCTGCCCCCTTACAACTCAGAATGGAGTACACAGGGGGAGCCTTGGGGTTCCTGGGGCCGGCCGAATTACAGTTGCAGAAAAAGGAAATGCTTCCCAAATATTCTCACAGACAGACCGACCTACCAGCATGCTGCAATACAGTCCCCAAATGCATCTCATTGGGGCGCCAGAGAAACCACAGCCCTTCTGGCCTTTCTTCTCTATGCCCACAACACCCTCAAAGATTTGCCAGGAAAAAAAAAAAAAAAAAGATTTGCCAGCACACCACCTCACATCCCTTTACAGGATGCCTCCTCCTCTGCAGCCATTCCAGACATTCTAAGTAGGGCCTGCAGTTCTCCAGACACTCTACCAACTCCCCCAACAAGTATCCCCCATTTACCCTCCCATAAAATCCCTTGAGGGCAGGTAAGCAAACCTTTCTCCCTTCCTTCCTCCATTTCTCCAGCTCTGGGAGATTGAGACCAGCTTATGGAGAAACAGCCAGTCGTCCAGCTAACTAAAATTGTCCCCTTTTCCTCACCCACCAATTTTCACCAATGTAACCTGTCATCTGTGGCATCAAGCTAATCTCCACCACCTCTTTCCCTGGCTTGGACCTTTGGGATGTATGGAAATCGTCAGCCAGGATTAGTTAAGCTCTCCCCTCTTTCAGCCACCCCTGGGTTTTTGTTGGAAATGGGAGAGAACAACAAAGCTTTCTTTGCACAGTGGAGACTCCTGTACCTTCATCCCTACTGGCCAAATTCAGACTCAGCTGGACTTCCTCAAAAATCAACATCAAAAGAGAATGGATCCAGGCTCAGTGGCACACACCTGTAGTCCCAGTGGCTCAGGAAGCTGAGGCAGGAGGACCACAAGTTCAAAGCCAACCTCAGCAAAATTGCTAAGCAACTCAATGAGACCCTGCCTCTAAATAAAATACAAAATAGGGCTGGGGATGTGTCCCTGAATTCAATCCCTGGTAGTCCCCTGCCCTGCCAAAAAAGGACAATGGATACATTTAGCTAACTCCTGAAAATATGTACATCAAAATTCCCCCAAGTAGCAATACCCTCCTGCCTCCTACTGTGGCTTTGAGTTCTACAGAGGTAGTTCAATCCAAACAGGGTCCAGATTAAGGAATTGACAACCCTCCCCCCAAAGAAAATGGAACTTGGTTTAAATCGCCCTGGCATTATCCACTTGGAACCCCACCTCTTTCCAGATATTTGGGTTTGATTTTATCTGGGTGTACTGGACAGCCCCACCTCCCACCGCTCCTGTGCAGAGATGCAAACTAGTGGATCATCAGCTGTCTTTATTCCAATGGGGACAGCGCTATTAACCAGGAAAGAAGCAGAAAAGTCCCCACTGCCACCTTAACTGGGATTGGATTGTACCCTGGGCCATGTTGTACCAGTTTTAAAAAAGAAACTACTTTGAAGGTGGCAAAGCAAACAGCCTCCTTAAGGACAGAGACAGTTTCAGACTTAGGCATCCTATAGGAGGAGACAAAGCAGGCAAACTTTCAGCAGAGTAGTCCAAAAAAACTTAGTGGAGGACCAGGCATGGTGGTGCACACCTGTATTCCCAGCAACTTGGGAGGCTGAGGCAGGAGGAGCAAGAGTTCAGTCCGCCTCAGCAGATTAGGGAGGCCCTAAGCAACTCAGCAAGCCCCTGTATTTAAGTAAAGTATTTAAAAAAGGGCTGGGGATATGGTTCAGTGGTTAAGTGCCCTGGGTTCAATCCCCAGTGGTTAAAAAACAAAAAACCGCTTTATGGAGGAGCAGTAATTGATAAACCAGTAAAGGTGTGTGGGTCCCTGTGTCTACAAGTCTGGGTTTGCCATCATGTGGTCATGTGCACCATGGTGGATGCTGGTGTATCAGTGAGGGTATTGATCAGTTGTGTTCTGTGGAATTTGTGTATGGGTGTGGGGGAGGGGGCATTGTGTCCATCATGCTGTGTGTTCGTGACTAGTGACTATCCTGCAGTTCTTTGACCAGGGAAGACCCTTCTACTGATAAGATATGGCAGACTTCTACTGACCAGGGAAGACCCTTTTACTGATAAGATAAGGCTAACAGCTGGAGCAAAATAGGGGCTTTAGGTGCCATTTCAGGTTGGCCCACCAGTCTCCGTCTCCCTAGGCAGGCCTCAGCTGGAGCAGAGCACTCTGCTCCTAGTGCAGAGCACAGTCTGCTGGAGTGTTCTGTGGAACAACGGTCGGTCTGTGAACCACACCCTGAGACCTTCCAGGGACATTCTGGGGGACTCTGGAGAGAGCACCCCAGATCCCTGTGCTGATGAGCCCGCCTTCTGGGCCAGCGCCTATCCCCACCCCCAGCCCCTAGCTGGCCACCTATTGTCTGTGTGCCCGGAGAGGCCCATGTAGAGAAAAACATGGCCTGAATTATGCTTTCTGGATGCAGCTTTTGGACAGATCTTTATAATCCGGGTCCCAAAATACATTTGGCAGTAAACCACTCTCTTGAAATATTCAGGCAATTAAATAAAAAGCATATATTTTTTTTTGTTTCAATTACCAGGTTAATTTGCCTTGAAGATAAAGATGAAGACTGTATTTGAGGGAAGGTGTGTACACATATTTATTTCTGTCTATTAAGTGCACGTTATTATGAACATTATCATGTACTTTTCTTTTGCTGTAGAATATTTACATTGTTTGCAGGATCATGGGATCATGCCAAATAGCACTGGCAATTAAAAAATGCTGAGGCTGTGTGAAAAAAAATATGTACGCATGTATATGTCTGTGCATATGAACATATAAGCTTAGAATGCGTGGAGTCAAAATATGGAGGATTTCGCCCGAGGAATACCACCCTCCTCTCCACAACAGTGGTTTTTTTTTTTTTTTTTTTTTTTTTCCCTTCCTTCTCCAGCTGTGGAAAGGCCAGCCTGGAAATTCCTCAGGCCTGTCTGAGCATGGCCTCCCTGGCTGGCTCCAGTTCTGTCCTTGAGCCTACACACTGGCTTACTTGCCTGAGAGCCCTATGCTAATGGGGAGGTGAGAAAAAGATGGCAGAGATGGTAAAGGATTGACTGGGACATCCAGATGGGGCCTTTTCTACATACGAGATACTCAGCCATCAGCTAATGGCCTCCGCAAGGGGCACAAGCAGGTATGTGCAAGGGTACTGTGCAGTACACATACTCAGACCTAGTACAATGGCAAAGACTCCCAGCAGAATCACCTCCTGAGGCTCACAGGTGCATTCTGGGAACACACACCCACTCATTGTTGCTTAAGCTCCCATGGCCCCATTCACCCCACCTCACACTCCTCTCCTTTCTTAATTCAGTCTAACCTTTCTTACTGTCATCCATGAACATCCTCCCCAACCAATCACCTCCCCCAGACCAGCTGGCCTCCATCTCTGCACTCCTGAGCCTATGGGAGAAGGGGAATCGAGTTTCCTACGTCTCCAGTGCCTATTCTTTCAGTCACAGAACTGAATGCAAGGTGGCATCCAGCGACTTGTTCCATTTCCATTATCAGTCAGTACATAGATCTTACTGCAGAGAATCTCAAAAGAATTCAGGAGTGGGGTGGAGAGATGCGGGAGAAAAACAGGTGATACAGGGTCAGTTTCCCCACCCCAGCCCACCCCACCATCAAACAACAAGAAAATAAATACCCCAGAAGCCAAAGGTGGCCACCTACGATGACACCAGAAACAGATCAGGCTGCTGCTTCTCGAATGCCCAGCTCCTGTCAAAGGAGAGAATACAAAGGTTAAAGTCCACTGGGCAGCTCCAGTCCCCTTTCCCTAGTAGCCCCCAGGCTCCCTACCACTCTCCCCCAGCCCTCTGTGGCCAGCACCTCTGGCATCCACGTTTCCCTTTTCAATCGCCAGGACTCTAGGCTGCCCTGGGGGGTGGAGAAAAGAGAAAAGCCTACAAATGGACAGAGGGTGCTCCAACTCCATCTGGCCTGGGTGACGCTAACCCTGCCTCTCCTCAGGATCTCCTGGGCTCGGTGGAAATTCTTCAGGCCCAGGGGTTTGAACTGAGCCCCCTGGAGATCTCTGACTCTGACATAAAGAAGTAATCCTCTGCCCAAAGGACACAGCTCCTCACAGATCCCTGATGCCCAGCCTACCAGAGAGCACCCTTAGGATAAAAGGGAGGATCTGGGATTAGAGATGTATTTGTGTCTGTCTAGATCTAATGACACTATAAACTGTAAAGTACTGTGCACATTTAAGATATTCTCCTTCACATAATCTCTCTAGCTTTCTCTACCCATCTCCGTCGATACTTACCCACCTGTCTATCTATGTATTTCTCTCAGGGTCCACAAAGACATCCTGTAGCTATCAATTCCTCCCCTCTCTTTTTTACATACACAAATGGTGTGAATACAGTGCAGTTATTTATTATTATTTCAGTGTTGGGTATGGAAATCTGTCCATCCTGTATAGTCTTCTCTTCCCAGTATTTTGTTTTTGTGTTAAATTAGGGTTTGGGGTAATCACATGTATAGCTCTACCAGGAGTGGATTTATGTGTACCTGGGTGTGTTGGGGTAAGCTGATAAATTCTTCTATCTCAAATTCAATTCCTCAACTAATTTTTTTCCTTCTTTTTTTTTTTAACTCAGAAGATAACCTACCTACATGCAGAGGAAGTTGGGGGGGGGGGTCGATAAAAGATACTATGGAACAGGAACAAGCTTAAATCCAAGCCTGATTTCTAGGAGGAGTGCTTTGAATGCCTCTCCCCAGTTCTCACACCCACAAATCCTCACTTGAACCCCACCGCCATGTCTCGGAACTGGCAGCCCATCCATTTTAGAAAGGGAGGTATCAGTCCAAAACTGTTAGCTTCACACCAAAGACGGGCCACCCCGCCCCATGCCGATTTGCTGACCTGCCAAAAAACAGGCACAAGGACAGGCAGCTGGGGGACCTCTGGCTCCTTCTTCCACTATCAGTGAGAGTTCTGGGGTCCCTGGGGCCATTGGATCTCTCCTCACTGACCCCTGCCCTCCCATGTGGCCACAAGGCACACACTATGCCCAGGGGAACAGGATGATAAGGAACACAGCCCAGCACGCACGGCATACAGCCGGCTGGCAGCCTCGGCCTCTCCCAGCACTCTGGCCTCTGGGGCACCAGGCATGGTTGGCTCTGTTCTGACTTCCCCTGCCCCACAATGATCCCAGCCTGTGTCCCAGAAAGAATAGTAGGTGGGGACTAGGCTCAGGATAGTGCCATCTTTCTATATCCCTAATCCTCCTTTTAATAACATCAAAAAGACAAGACACCTCCATTCAATGGATCTGGAGGGTTTTGAAGTGGGTTCTCCCCACTTCTAGAACCCAAGCATCTGTCCCCAAACCTTGCTTGCCTTTAAGCTACTCTCAGCCCCTTTCCTACCTGCCAGCTCATAGGAAAGGGGCAGGTGAAGAAGGGGAATGAAATCAATCTCAATCTAAAATGAATCTAAATCTAAAAAATATTTGGTTTTTTTCCCCCCAATTCTGGTTTCTACCTTCCTGGAAACCGGGCTCCTTTTCCTCCCCCACCTCCAAGTCCCTGGACTTTTTCTTCCCCTGAAACCTGCAGTCTCTGGGGCAGAGAAGAATACGAGCCAGGGGCGAGGAAAGAAGGTCAGGAGTCCACACACAGAACCATTTTTCTCTTCCCTCCCGTCTGCACTACAATCTTCCTGCCTCTGCTCTGAGCATTAAGATGTTGGCCATGTCTGGTGGAGAAAAGGGAGGGGCGGATTAATAGGATCAGTAGCACCGTGACCCTAAAGTCCCCCCCAATCCCATTGACAAACTTAGTGAGCTGTCTGGGCTGGCAGGGGCTGGGGGAAGGAGGGGGACCAAGAGGCGCTCTGGGCGGTTGGGAAGGGCCACAGCCTTCAGCTCAGTGATGGATGCCCAGGAAGCCGGGAGGTGAAACCCCACTCTCCAACTCCTCCTCCGCTTACATGCCTCGTCCCTTCTGGGGACCCCCTGAATCTTTCATCAGCCTTTTCTTCCTGTGATGGTTGCACCAGACTCCATTAGCCAGGAGGCAAAGTAGGAAGCTTATGGTGCTTTGACTCAGCTGAGGGGCTGTCTTGCCACCCCCAGTCCAGATGTCTGAGGGAGCTAGGATCCTCTCTGGACCCCAGTGGCCACTTACCCTGCTTCTGTGAAGAGGAGAGGCTGCACGGGTGGCCCCTGCGGCTGGACTGCCCGTCTCCCCCCTGCTCCCAGCCTCTTGTGGAGTGGAGGATGCGGCTCCCGGTGACGTAGCATCTGTCTATCCATTCAGGAATTTCGCTCGCCTCTCTCTCTTTCTTTTTCTTGCTGCTCTCCCTGGAAAGGCAGCAAAAAGGGGGTGCTGCCCCTAGCTGGAGACACCGTCACCACCAAAATAACAGCCCATTCTCATGAAGCCCCCCCCCTTCTCCCCTTTCATGCCCGAGTGAGAAGGGGGTCTTTGTCATGTGTGCTGTTTCCCTCACCTCCCTCTGGTGCCTTTTCTAACCTGAAGAAGGAAGAAGGGGCTAAGGGACGCTATTGTTCCTCCAGGCCACCCTTGTCCCCAAAGGAAACAAGAGAAAGGGTGTGACAGAAGTACCCCTATCCCTGGGTGCTTCCAAGTTTTCATTTGCTTTTGAACTTGAGAGAGTGATTCCATGACGTGAGGCTGTGGGGTGGGGAGCAGAGTTGGTAACGAGTCCCAGAAAGAGGGCACAGTTAGCCACTTGGAGGTTTGGGGTATTCCAGCGCCCCCTTTCCAAAGCTCCTCCGGGCCCCTAACACTGTCAGCTGAATTAATGGAAAACCCAGATCGTGGCTGTGAAGGAGAAAGTGACAATTGGAAGGTGAAGGCCGAGAGCTGGAGGGGGGATGGCCAGCACTTGGAAGTCTAGACAGAACAGGAGGGGTGGGACCACAGACTCAAGTGAGAGATAAATTATCCTGCTCTCCGAGGAGGGAGAGCGATTTGGGGGTTGGTTTCCAGGGCTGGGGTCCCGATGTTTGGTGGAAGCTGGGGGCCCAGAATGGTACAATGGTCGGGTCTCTTTTTCTCTCTCTCACCCCCACCCTCAACCCCTCCCTTTCTCCCTCCCACTCTTCCTGGCCTGCATGGGAACTCGGTCTGAGCTCGACGTGACAGACAGCAGGCCTGCATGCTAATGAAGTTTGTCTCAAGTTCATTGTCAAAGCCCCCCCTTCCCCACGGCCCCCTCCCCTTCTCTCTCATACACAAATCTCCCTCCAACTTTTGTCCCACAGACCTGGAGGCCACTTGAGTCTCCGCTGGCTCCCCTCTCTCACCCTCCCCCACTGCTTTCAGTCTCCCCTCTCCTCACTACCTCCCTCAACTGGGGGCGGGATGGGGGGGGCCTCTCTTCTCCCTAGTGCCTTCGCAGGCACCTTCTGGCCCAGCCATCCCTAAGCTCCAATTGAGGGCTTCTGAGGACCGAGGTCAGAGTCTGCGGACCTGGTCCTTCTTTCCGCAACTCAAAGCAAGGAGGCTCTAGAGGGGCGAGAGAAGGCGACAGACTCCCCCACTCAAAGTTCCCTGCCCCCCAATTCTCAGCTCTGTCCAGGCCCAGTCCCCCCATTCCAGCCCCGCTTCGCCCTCCCCCCATTCTTCCCATTATGATCATTTTGCTCTCTCCTTGATTACATCTGCTTCACTAGCTCAGAAATAAAGATCCTTTGAGACTAATTTTGCACCCCCCCCAGCTCCCCACCCCTGCCCTCCCCCTTCCCTGTAGACCAGGGCTCCTGTTAGCCCCTTTCTCACCGGCTGGAAGACATTGAGTTCCTTGTCTAGGGAGCTGGGGGGTGGGTGGGAGGGGGTGCCCGTGGAATGGGGGGTCTCTCCAACTCTGGGACGTGTCCAGCAATCCAAACCTGTCCTTCTTTTGTTCCTACAAATCTCTTCATACTGTCACTACCCTCTGGAGTCTGCCTTTCTCCCAGTAAGCAGGGGCTAGGAGAGGAAGGGGAGGAGGACCCTGAACTCACCCCACCCCTCAATTCCAGGGAAAGGAGGGAGGGGGAGAAAAGGGGGGAAAATTTAAATTCCCCCCTCATTAGCCAGAAAGGAAGCAAAAGGGGATAATTATAATTAAAAGCAGACAGCTGTGGATTGCATCTTTTATGTTCCTCCGAGCCTCCTCCCCTCTTCTGCCACCATCACCCAAAAAACCGCACACCCCCTGTGCATCTTGCCCCGGTTTCCTGGGGAGTGGGGTGCAAGCTAGGAGGCTGAGATAGATTTAGGCAAGGCGAATCCACTTCCTCTTTCCTGACAGCACCTTCTGAAACATCTCAATAGGCTGAAGATGTGGGGGGCTTCCTCTTCCCTCTCCCCGTACCCCCATAGTGGGGGCCTGTGGGGGGTGGGGGCACTCAGGTGGTAACAACTCATTCAATAATTTGGGGAAAATGTTTGATCTTCTTAAAAATAGCCATCCCGTTCACAATGAAATGAATACGAAGAATTCCTACAACTGGAATGTTTTCCCAGTGCTCCTCCCTTGGAATCGCCTGCACCCACCAGGAGGACAGCGAAGAGCCAGGATCCGTAAGGCAGTGTGTGTGGCAACAAAGAGAAGCTACCACAAATGCACGCAGATACATACATATGCTGGGTAATTTGGGGGGTGGTGTTGCTGGGCCTAGCTTCTCTATCCTATGTATTTATAGAACTTGATCATAGGCCAGAACAGCAGGATAATTATAGCATTATTAGCATATATGCAAATCAGGTAACCTATATACGCTGAATGGAGGCAGATTATTATTTATTTCTCTCCCCCTTTCTCCTTCCCTGGTACCAGCTCTGGCTCCTCTGAGCTGCACACCAGCAATTATCTGACATTATAAGAGGGGGTTGTAGCCCTGGGGGAGGGGGCTGAGGGGAGTAGGACAGGAAAAAAAAAAAAAAAAACCACGGGCGGGTGGCAGGCGGGCGGGCGTTTTTATCTCATTTTACTCAATGTTATTCTGGGAAGAGCGGGGAGGGGCTCAGTGAGAAGCCTTTGAATTAACAAAGGGGGAGGGGGTGTTATGGAGAGACAGAGACCTGAAAACAGAGACAGATGAAGCCAGAAAAGCTGCGAAGCAAAGACAGAGACCAGGGAGACAGGACCACCGTTCCTGGGGAGCGGGGGAGCCGCCGGGGACAGAGGAGTCGCAAATTCACACGGAGCCAGGCACAAAGACTCCAGATCTGGCGTGAAAACAAGGATCTGTTGATGAGGGGGGTGGAAGGATGAGCTGATCAGGGTCACTGGGCTGGGGGCCAGCATGGGCACCCAGACCTTCCCAGCCCCCGGACCTAGAGGCTGAGGCACCTCCACATTAGCAAACCCTTCCCCCTTGTTCCACCACCTAAAAAATGATCAGGAAACCCCAAGCCACGGCTTTTGGCGAATTCCTTCATTCTAACTAGTACATGAGCACAAACTCAAGGTCCTAGAGCCCCTTCGCTTCCCCAGGGGATGGTACAGAGTCAGTCCTGGACTCTCTGGTGGGATCTCTCTGGACACCTTGGCCTCTAAGGAGTCCTCCCTGGGCCCTTGTCCTGTCCCTACCAGATACATGGATGGGAAGCTGGAAACTTTGCAGGATTCATTGGTCCCCTCCCCATGTCCCCCCATCTTTCCTTCTCAGGGCTTGCTCTACCGAGTTGTGTTCCCCTGCCTCTGCCTCACTGGGTAGAATTCTGCTGGCCCCAGAACAGCTAGGGGGATTCCACAGCTCCATTCTGATCTTGCCTCTACCCTGCTCACAAGAAGTCTCCAGCCCCCAACTGGATTAGGGGAGTATTTCTGTCTGGCTCACCCCAAAGCCTTTTTTATGTTCCTAGAGATACCTGCATCTGTGTTTCAAATGTCTCCAAGTTCCTGTTTGTGATGTTGCTATCTCTGCCTAAAAAATAATAATAATAATAAAAAAAAGATTTGTGCACTCGAGGCAAACTCCAAATAAGGTAATATTGGGGAGAAGGAGGGTTTTTTAAACCAGGGGAGGTCCAAAGGTCTTGAGGGTTGTGTTAGAATGAAGAAGATATGTGCCAGAGGTGGTAGTGCACACCTGTAATCCCAGTGACTCTGGAGGCTGAGACAGGAGGATCACAAGTCAGCCTCAGCAACTAAGTAAGGCCCTAAGCAAACGAGACCCTGTCTCAAAATATAAAGTAAAAAGGGCTAGGGATGAAACTCAGTGGTAAAGCATCTCTGCATTCAATTCCTAGTATCAAAAATAGAAAAAGGAAAAGAAAAGAAGAAATGTTCCTGAAAGAAATGAATACAGAATCAGATAACCGATCAGGCAGAGCCAAAAGACTAGGAGGAAACAACTTCAAGGCTGTACTTAGACTTGTACCCCAAAAATGGAATACACACACACACACACACACACCAGCAAACCAGAGGGGCTTTAGAGCCAATAATTTCTGAATCTATGATGTGCATTTATATTTATATTTGTTCCTGGATCCAGTTGTTTCTCATTCTTTGTGGCTGTATACTACAGAATAATGTGAGAGCTGAAGAGGCAGAGAAAGATGGACAGACTGAGCAGCGAGAAACTAAGAGAGGCAGAGACTGAGACCCACAAACCGACCTAAAAAAGGCACTGAGAGGCACCTCAAACCTGATCATGGATAGAGCAGACACAGGGGCCAAGCTTTCAATTTTCTTTTCCAACTTAGAGACCTGGAATATGGCCCTCACTCCTGCCTGTTTCCACCCCAGGCTCAGCCCAGAAATTGGGGAGTAGATTTGTAACTTTACCAGGCACATTCCTCTACACTTGTAATAGACTGGGGTCATTAGGACAATCAATGAATGGATTCTTCCCTGGGCTGCGCCATATAGAGATCTCTCCTGGCAGCCTGACATTCTGAGGTGGGGAGTCACCAGCACTTCTTTCTTGGTCTTTGCATTTTTTTTTTTTTTTGCTTTTGTAGTTTTATTGTACAGGAAGTAAGTGCCAAGTCTATGGGGCTCTGTGTGGGCACACAAATATGTCTAATCTAATCTTCTCTCCTTCATAATTCATCTCTGTAGCAATCCAGTTGGACACCTGTAAATGCACATTGCCAGGCTTGATTGTCAGGACCTCTCTGTGTGTGGAGCAGGTCCACATGTGCCTGTGTACAGATTTGTGTTTTTATCCAGTGGTCTGGGTGACTGATAACTTTCTAGAGACAGGCTCTGTCTTTGGCCAGGCGTATCTGACTACCACTTTCACAGCTGCTATGGAAGGTATCTTTCAGACTTCTATAGATGAAGCTCCAACAGCCCTTTGCTCTTTTACCCCTCTAAAACAGCCCAAATCCCCTCCCTAAGTGGCTTGATTATATATCATATATACATG